GCTTGCCATAATAGTCGTCTTACCCTCCCTCATGAACTATTGAAAGCAAGGTAATAAATTTAGCCCCAACTTAAAGCAGAGATTCCCATACAGCTCCAAAGAAATCACAAGACCTAGATGGTTTCTTGATTCATCAACTACCTTGGGATTGAGATGTTGTTGCTGTTGTTGTATGGTCAATTTTGTGATTTATATTCATTGACACTCCTTAGGATTGGAAACTCAGGCCACGTTTTCGCAGATTGTTACTATTATACTACAACAATGAGAATCTTTGACATTCATCATACAAAGAAAGTGAAAGGTACTCACAACAAAATTGTTAGAGAAATTGCCTAGTCACAAAATGCACCACCGGACACCAAGTGATTGAATTTGACTATGTAACTATTAGTGAAGTTATCTCAACAAGAGTATCTCCAAGAAATTCAAAAAGACAATGCAACAGATAACAAGCATATCCCCAAATCCCTCAAACACAAGAACAGAACAAGGTCAACTAATTATAATTTCTACCAACAACAACAACAACCAAAAATCATACTTTACAACTTTTGCCTCAAAGATTGAAACTTGTCAACTCTACTCAACAATTCAATTAACTCGAAGAAAGAAACAAAGCAAGGACAAGTAAGAGGGACTCACATTGAGAACACGAGAAATCCCTTGACTCTTAAGAAGCTCAGCTCTAGAAGCATTATCATAGCTTCCCAAAAAAAGAAACTCCGGCAAGATCTCAGAAGGAAAAGCACTGATTTGAATTGGAAAACCCATATCAGAAACAGTAGGCATTCGATGACCACAAACTCCACAAGGCTCCCCTTCTTCGTACTTGTGATAATGCCCACAAATACCACATGGGTTTTCCCTCTCTCTCTTCCTCATGATGAACTAATTCACTATGTCCGCCTCAATCGACAAAACAAGAACGACCCAGAAGAGGAAAAAGGAGAAAATTTTGCCTAGATTTGATCCGATTTGAAGTGACCGGATAGAAGGAGAAGCGTCAAGAGAGAATTTAAGGCTAAATTTGGTGATTTTATAGCTACCGGTGCTAATAATTTTGGTTTTGGCCGGGGGGATTCTTGAAAATTCGATGGAGTACAAGGTTAGCATAACAATTAGCCAATAGTAGTAGGGAATAGGATAAATTAGTGGGAATTTTAATTCGAGGTTTATTTTATTAAATTTAATTATTAAATATTTAAAATTAATATTAAACATAGTATGAAAAAGAAGTAAAATTCTCATAATTTATAAAAATAGATAAGTAAAATAAATATTTATTTTTAATATAAATGCAAGAGAATGAGTTTGATGTAGGTATTTGAGTTAGATCATGGTGAAGTGTTCATCTAAATCTCTATAAATGGAAAAGTATACATTATTTTTATATATACTTAAATTATTTTGTATGTATATATATAATACTTTCTCCACCTATTTTTAATTTTCATGATTTTCTTTTTTAGAGTGAAATTATAAGAACTTTGATTAACATTTAACGATGTGCTTTCCATCATATTGATGTGCAAAAAATTGTAATTTATCGTACTTTTCGTATATTTTTGAATATCTAATTTTTTTGTTTTTAAAATATTGAATTGATGAAATCTAATTTAACTTTGAAAATTAATCAAATTGACTTTTGAAAATCGCAACATGACAATTAAAAATGAACGGGAGTAAATATTGAATTTTTTTAACTTCTTTATGTTTTGAATTATCTTAGTGACCCCGCCTCTAAAGTCGAGTGCTCAAATTTGAGCTAAGTATATTAAAAAACATAATACATAAATGTGTCTTTTAATTTGACCTCCATTCACATTTACACTCTTTAATTTTTTGTGTGCACAAGTAGACACTTAAAGCTTGTATAAAGTTGAACAAGTAGACACATGAGTTCTATGTGGCATAATACACGCAAGACGCAAATTGTCATATAGAATGTCACGTAGGACGTGTGTGTTTATTTGTTCAACTTTATACAATTTAAGGTCCGATTTGGCCATGCGATATGGCATCATGATATGGAATCATGATATGATATCATAATATGAAATTATGAGATGAAATTGAAGTTTTGTTTTGACATGTGGTATGAAATTTTTGTGTTGTATATTTTCTCATAAACATAAAAATCTCATAAGTTGTAAAACAATTAAAATAGCCCCAATTGTTTATTCAATCTTACCAAATAAACAAAAAATTATAAAATCGCATAATAAATTATTACAAAGTTATTTGTTCTCCACTTAAGTAACTGTTTCATCTAACTTTAATTCAATAAAAAAATTGAACATAAATTGTAGTGTACTAGTCTTTAATATAATCCTCCCACATAGTACGGACAATTTCGTCACGTCGAACTTGCATTTCTCGATCATGTGACCGAGAAGCCGAACCAACATTGTTACTTTGAGTTGTAATAATTACAAAACGGTAGAAGTAATAAATTAGGCATTGCAGTAAATGAAGAGAACAAATTTATTACTCAACAATCGGTTGATGTGAGTTAAAGTGACTATATGATGGTGAGAATAATATATTTTATGTCAGTAAGAATAATAAATTTTATGTCGGTAAGAATAATAAATTTTAAAAAAGTAATGATGTGATTATAAATTTTTTTTACATATGAAATAATAGATATAAATGTGGGGTTGTTTTAACAAAATATAAGCTTGTGGATCAATTTTTGTATTAAAAATATCTCAAATCATGTTACGGAATTCCCATATTATGTTTTTTTGGAGAATATGAAATCACATCTCATGATATGGAATCATGAGATGGAATCAGCGTAAAATTGCATGTCCAAACACTGATTCCATCTCACGATTTCATATCGTGATATAGTGTCGCATGGCCAAACGCCTACTAATTAAGTTTCTACTTGTGCACACTCAAAGTTGAAGAAAATAAATATGAAATAAAAGCCAAGTTAAAAAGTATATTTATATATTATGTCATATTAAAAGTTTCAATTGACAGTATAAAATAAATCCTAGAATATGTTTAGAAGATTTTTTTAATTTTGCTAATAGTTAGATACACAAAAAGACCTCGATCTAAAAACCTAGCTTACTTGACGATTTCAATATCACCATCTATCGCAATAGTATAACTTATTTTATATTCCACGATTATATGCAAATAATATATATTCAATTATTTATATACTTGCTCTATTAGGATATTTATTTATAATCCACCATATATGTGATTGAAATCCAAAGGCAAAGTCGGCAAAAGGTGACCAAAAACATTGATTGTTTTATCAAGTTGTCGCATCCTTCTTTTTTAAAATGGTAGGAAAAAAGTTTTTGGATAAGATATCAAAAGGTTTTTTAGATAGTGTTTACTTTTTCTTCATTAAAATAGTTTTACCTAAATATTTTTTAATTTAGGCATGCTAAATCACCTATTTAATTAAATTTTAAATCGTTTGAATGATCTTTGAAATGCTTTTTGAACCCAAAGTTTCCAATTTGAGAGTTGCATTTGATTAATGGGAAGGTATTAAAATTGTTTGATCTCCGTCCCTGATTAAATTAGTATAATTCAGGGGGTCAAAATGTATACTCTAACTCAAACAAGCAAATCATATTAAAACTGAAAAATCAATTTAGAAATGTAATCCAACTTAAATAATCGAAGACACTTATCAATTTCACTCATTGCTATAGAAAATCTAATCAACTTGCATATTAGTTGTGAACTCTCTGGCTAACAACACATATCTCTTGTCCCAACAGTTTTAGAAGGGTGCAAAGGGTCCCAATGTAATAGATAAGAGACAAATTTCAAACATCATATCAATATTTGACAAAGCAAATTTGTATGTTAGTTAGACTAACTAATTGAATGGTAGGAAATTAGGCAATAAGTTTTTTGTTTTTATTTTCCTAATTAGAATAATTTTTTTTAAAAATAATCTTGTTTCGTAATAATATAATATTTCCCCATTTTCCTATAATATGTAATATTTCCAACAGATTACGTTATCATTATACGTGCATTAATTAAGCACGAAATTGTGTCAAAATCTAAATTAAGCATGAAGGAAAATTTCACCTAAATTTTTATGTTTTGTATCATAAATATGATATGTCATTTAAAAACAATTAGTAGACCTCTTTCATAAATATGATATGTCATTTTATATTGTTATTTTGAAGTAATCATATCAAGGTCAAAAAAATTGTATTTTTTCCATTAAATTTCGTGATGTTATAAGAACAAATCTTTACTAATTAAAAGGTATATATTTATCAAATACGCTAAATAAAGTTGAATAACTTTTATATGATTAAAATAATAAATAGAAAAACAACTTTTGTATTATTATATACAAACTTTGGAGATCAATTGACTTTTGTGTAATAATTAAAATAGAGCTGTACAAAATCGAATTAAACTACAAATTGAGTCATATCGGGGAAAAAATCGACTAGTGGATTGGTTTGATATTGGAAAAAAAAAACTACTAATACTTGGGTTGATTTGCTTCTTACTAAAAAAATCAATTCGAGCCAAAAAAAATTTTGTATAATAAAAATGTTTCTTTTCGTGCCGTAAATTCAAAATTGAGTGACCAATAATAAAATTTATCCATTTTACAAATATTCATATCAGTATAAACCGGCATAGTTTTGGCGTAAACTTTATTTATGTTTATTAAATAAAAAAATCTTTTTTTTCTTGTGTATTTTTAAGCTAAAACCACAAATCCTTGTTTCTTCCCAAAATAATTACATAAAAAAGAAATTAATTCCTTTACCTATGTGAAATCGGATATTTTTTTTTTCTTAAAGTAAATATAGTATTTTTGGTTGACCTTTAAACCAATTCGAAATAGGATTGTGTAGCATAAATTATACTCTATAAATAGTCCTCACAAATTTTAAATTCCACACAAAAAATTTCCCTGCTCCAAAAATTCGGACGGCAAGAATTTCTCCATATTTGTTAAGAGTTGAGACTAAGAAAAGAAAAAGATGTCTTCGATCGGTGAATTTGCTTGTACTTACGCTTGTTTAATCCTTCACGATGATGATATTCCTATCAATATAATGTATTTTCTCCTTTCTTGCGATTTCTTTGCATACTTTGAGTAAAGAATTTATCAGAAACAACCTTAATCACACTATCTTTTCTAAATCTTGCTTGTAAAATTACATTGAATTATTTTGTCTTTACTCTATATTACTTTAAATTTTTTGTTTTCTCTATTAAGAATAACCAAAATCTGGACAAATAGCAGATTATATGTTACACTGATTTTTAAACCATAGTTTAAATTGATGAACTGATCATGAACGTTAGAACCCCAACTTCTAACAATAATGTTGCCACTCCTCCTTCAATTACTGATAACGATGCTTCCACTGCACCTTCTGTCAATAACAAGAAGAAGGTATACTTTGATCTTAATTATATTAATGTCTCGTAAATTACAATTTTTTGCATATCAATAATGTTTGACCAAGTTTCTAATTTTGAAAAATGTTTTTCAAAAAGTACTTTTGGTGAGAAACGGTTGTTATTTAAACAATAAATTTGAACAACAATTAGTGTTTGACAAAAAATTTTCGTAGATTGGTGAAAAACAACTTCTTCTACTCTCCAGAAATACTGTTTTATGTATTACTTGACTTATGGAGAGTGAATTGTAAGCATAATATCTCATTATTGTGTTGTTTGTATTTTTTTCAGGAGGAAATAAAAGAAGAGAGTGATGATGAAGCCATGTTTAGCTTATTTGATTAGAGTCACATCCTCAGCTTATTTGAAGACTTAAAACTTTTTGGCTCTTTATTTTAAGCTTGTTTTATATTGTTCTTTTTAATAGAATTGTAGTAGAATTATTACCTTGCTATATCAAAAGACTTATTTAATTTTGTTTTAGATTTTGCCTGGTGATATCTTTGACAGAAAATAAATGACAATCACACAAAATATGAAGGAACACAATTGTATTCATGGGTATAAATCTATTGATTCCTTAATTCTACTCTCCTAAAATTTATCTATGATTCGTGATTCGAGGGTCGTTAGTGGCGTATTTTCCGAACTATGATGATTTGGATGATCTCTATATGAATATTCCTAAATTTGCAGAATATTCAAGATGCCTTTTTAAGGTAATATAATACCCTTTATATAGGCATGAACTAGGGTTTAGGGTAGGGGTGTGCATTGGTCGATTCGGTTTGGTTTTATGTATTATCGGTTCGGTTTATTGGTTTTCAGTTTTTAAATATGCTAAACCAATAACGAACCAATAAGATAATTTTTTATTGGTTTTCGGTTTAAACAATAAGAAAATGCTTATAAAACAAATATATGACTTCTCTAATAAATTTGACACGACAAGACAATAATGTAACTTTACAAAAGCTCATAAAATAGAAATAATAATAACAAACATGAAAAGAACTATACATGTGTTTAACACAAAGGGAAATCAAGAGGAATATGGTTCTTACTTTAGGTTTTGACGATTTGTATAATGTAAAGTTGTGAACTCAAAGTCACAGCGAAGTATGAATTGATGACTAAATGACAAAGACGTAACTATTAAGATATTGAGATTAATATATTTACTAATATGTATGTATATGTAAAAGTAGTAAATTACTAGTCTTAACTCTTAATGGGTTATCGGTTTACCCAATAACCCAATATTGAAAATCAATACCGAATCGATAACCCAATGATTTTTTTTATAAAACCATTAAAAAACCGTTAACCCAATAGCAATAAACCAATAACACTTTTTTCGGTTCGGTTTATCGGTCGGTTCGATTTTTGCACATCCCTAATTTAGGGTAGAGTAGCCTCCAAAAATCTTAGTTAGAATTAAACACACCTTGTAGAGTTCCAACTCAAATTAAATAAAGAGTCCACAAAATTTCAATATCTATTATGCGTAATCTTGAGTCCAACCTGACAATACAAAAGGAGGTGGATTATGATCGTACGAAAAATAGTTGACTTATCCTAGGATCAGAAACCTAATTCTAAAAATCGATTTTTAAAAAAAATAATTAATGAGAAGTTCACTCTATATATATATCTAAATAAGATTCTATATTACTGAATAATAGACATATTTTTATTTATTATTTTGTCATCAAACATAACAAGATTTTGCATTTTATAGTAAACCATCAGGAATCTACTACATCAACATTATTAAAACTAATGAAAAGAGTGAAACATGGGATATGAGATTGTATATGAACTATGCAGAATTTGTGGCCTTTTAAAATGATTAACTTTTGGCTTTAAATAAATGAATTCACACGCCTTGACAAATTATTATTCGATCCATCGTTAAATAAATAATCATATGATAACTTTCTAGAAAAATTTCATAAAAGTACAATTACTTAACTTACCTTACAAAATTATAATAAAAAACGTACAATATAAATCTTAAGTCAAAGGCATAATTTGGTATACAATAATATACATCCAATATACAATAATATACAAAACTTTCATTTTATTTTTTTTACAAAAATATTTTAAAACTTGATATACAATATTATACCCCAGTATAAAATATTACAAAAGATATTTATACACCCATATATAATAATATACAATCTTATACACTATTATATAAAATGAAATTTCGTCAAACTTTGCTATTAGATTTCTCTGAAATGGAATCTTCCCGAAAATTTGTAGAGAGGTAGATCTAGTATGCCATATATCATCCCCAATACGTGAGGTATTATGATCACAATAGAATTTCATTGGAAAATTATTTTAAAATGATTGACACTTTACTCTTGAAATTTCTCGATAATAATCGAGTCAAAATAGTATAATTCGGTAGCTCAAAACATAACCCAATCCAAACAAGCAAAGCATATTAGAACTGAAAAATCAATTTAGCAAAAAATATTTGTGCTTGTGAAAAAATACTTTTAATGAATGAATAGGACGGATCGAAAGAAAACTTACTTAAATATATTAGCTAGAAAAATAACAATGCCAAAATGTGAAAGAATATAGAAATCAATTAAAGTACATCAAGTTTGATTGGAAATGGTGTATTCAGAAAGGTTATACTAACCTCAACATTGAACTAGACTCTTGGCTAATCATAGAAATACTTAAAGATGAAAAATCTAGCAATTTTAAATTAAATAAAGTAATTGAAGACACGTATATAATGCTTAAAATGTAATAGGAAAATGATCATAATTAATAATGAGGGTAAATTATGAATTAAGTGTAAAATTATCCATTAATTTCATAAAATAGATAAATATTGTTGGACATCCCAAAATAGCATAGTAGACAACTATTGTTGGACGGAGGAATATGTATAATAAGTATGAACCTTTATATATATATATATTTAGCAATGAACCTTAGGGACGATGAAGAAAATTTCACTTAAATTTTTTAATATTTTGCACCAATATATATGAGAGTTCAGAGTCAAAAGGGCAAAACAAAATTGCCAAAAATTCCAAAAAGGCACATCAATTTTTTTAAAACCAAAAGGGCAAAATCGCTCCTAACGAAGCGATTTCCCTCTGACACAATTTTGACACTGTTTGTCCGTTATTTTTTCCCCAACTAAAATCATTGCTATGGCAGCGTTTTAATTAAAAAAAATTCTTGGAAAATCGCTGCCTTGGCAGCGACTTTATAAAAAAAAATAAAAAAAAATCTGAAATCGCTGCCTTGGCAGCGTTTTCATTTCCCTCCAATTTTATTATTATTTTAAATTGTAATTCAATATTCACATTTCATATAAAAACAAATTGAGTTACAATTAAAAAAATTGGAGAGGAATGAAAACGCTGCCAAGGCAGCGTTTAAAAAAGAAAAAGATTTTTTTTAATAAAAAACCTACCAAGGCAGCGATTTTCATAATTTTTTTTTTAATAAACGATTTCTCAAGATTTTTTTCTTTTTTTTTTTAGTTAAAACACTGCCACAACAGCGATTTTAGTTGGGAACTTTTTTTCGGACTTAAAGCGATTTTAACGAAAAAAAAGAAAAAAAAGTTTTGGACAAAATTGCTGTCCTGGCAGCGATTTTTTTTTTTTTAACAAACTAACGGCGTTAAAATTGTGTCACAGGGAAATCGCTTCGTCGGGAGCGATTTTACCCTTTTGGTTTTCAAAAAAATTGATGGGCCTTTTTGAAAATTTTGACAATTTTTTTTGCCTTTTTGGCTCCGAACTCATATTTATGACATAACGTTTTAAAATAGTTAGTAAACCTCTTTTTTGTGATTTACGAAGTTGTCTTTACATCTTTATTTTGAAGCAATCACATCAAGCTCATAGAATTTGATTTGTCATTAAATTCCTTGATGTTATTAGAACAATTCTTTTGGTAATTAAAATAGTGTTTATTAATTTTAGGTGATAAACTTTTAGGTTTGATGAGTTTTTTATACCAAAATAGAAAAATAACTTTTGTGACCAATAGTAAAATTTAACCTTTTTATAAGTAGTCATCAATTTAAACCAACATACATAATTTTCTCACTGGGTTTATTTATATATATTAAATGATTTTTTTTCTTGTAAGCTAAAACCACAAATCCTCGTTTCTTCCCAAAATAATAAATAAAAAATAAATTAATTCCTAGACCAATATGGAAACGGATACTTTTTTTTTTCCCAAGGAAATATAGTATTTTTGGTTGGCCTTTTAACCAAATTGAAATAGGATTGGAGTAGCATAAATTATATTCTATAAATAGTCCCACACAAAGCCTAAATACCCTACAAAATATTTCCCTGCCCCCAAAAATTCGGACGGCAAGAGTTTCTGCATATTTGTTAAGAAGAAAAAAATGTCTTCCATTGGTGAACTTGCTTGTACCTACGCGTGTTTGATCCTTCACGATGATGATATTCCAATCAATGTACGTAATATATTTTCTCCTTCCTCTTATGAATTCTTCGCTATTATATTTTTTTTCAATACTTATTTTTATATGCTTTATTTGAGCGATAGATAATAATCTCAATCACACCACTTTCTGGATCGTACAATTACACGGAATATATGTGATTGTTGTTGTTGAATCTTAAATAGAAACCTTTATTCTCGTATCGTATTATTCAAGAAAGATCCTCGTTCTTACTCTTTTATTTTCAAAATTTTCCCCTTTCTTTAATCTCTAAATATAAACAATGGTTCAAAACTCATAATTCATCAAATTTTAATTTTGTTGGCTCGATTTATTATATATATGTAGGCGGAGAGAATTGGTACACTTATAAAAGCATCAAATTTAAAGGTGGAATCGTACTGGCCAAGCCTTTTCGCAAAACTTTGTGAAAAGATGAATGTTAATGAACTGATCATGAACGTTGGTACCTCCAACTACTGATAACGATGCCTCCACTGCACCTTCCGTCAATGACAAGAAGAAGGTATGCTTTGATCTTATATTAATTGAACAACAATTACTGTTTGATCAAACTTTTTAAAAACGCTTTTAAATATAAATATATATTTTTTCAAAGGTGTTTTAACTTATTGTATGTATATCTCATTATTGTGTTGTTTGTATGTTTTCAGGAGGAAATAAAAGAAGAGAGTGATGATGAAGCCATGTTTAGCTTGTTTGATTAGGACTCATATCATCAGCGACTAAAAAGTTTTTGGCTCTTTAATTTGAGTTATTTTATAGAATTACGGTAGAATTTAATTATTTTGAATAATGTTACCTTGTTATATCGAAAAACTTATTTAGTTTTGTTTTAGGTTTTGCCTTTTTCTTTAAGAATTTTATTTTGCCTCTGATATTTTGACTAACGATAGATGCTCAGATTGTAAATAATCATTATTTTTTACTCTAAGATTGTGAGTTCAAGCGGTCGTCTCATAGGACAAGACTCCGAATTCTTAGTACTAATTTTGCAAAATTAATATGAAATTAATCCTTCTTATTTTCAAAATAAGATCAAATAGTATTGATTATTGAATATATATGTAATAAGTATGTATTTTTTTAATTGTATTTTATTATTTTGTCAAATATACCATAATTTTACGTTTTATAGCCCACCTAAAAAGCCCAAATGTGCCCGCCCCTTATTTCGTATCTCATTTTTCTTTACAATAACAATCAACGATTCAGCCTTTAATATATGTATTAGTATTGATGATTGAACAATTTTCACATATAGCAAACATAAAAATTATATTTGTATGTTATAACTATAGTTTGCATAATTGTGCTTCATAGAAAATTTTATGTTTGCTATGGAGCTTTTGATTTGTATAATTTGCTAGATACATCCAATTTTATACAAATTGTTCAGTTTTGTATAAATTCATTTATACATTGTAATTTGTATAATAAGATCTGTATTCTTATAATTATAAGTGTATAGGATGAAAATATATATATTTGTATTTCTATATACATTTTTCTCTCGCTTTATACAAACACAAACACATTTTATACCGAAATGTATAAAATGGCTAATTGTATACCGAAAATGGCTAGTATACCGAATCAGATAAAAAAAAGGGATGCTTGTTGCGAATTACAAATAAAATAAACTATGGCTATAACATTTAATTTGAATTAATAATTTGCTATTTCATACAATTTTCCCTTGATTAATTAATCGGGAATCTACCAGTTTTCTTAATTTCATTGCATTTTTGTCCAAAAACACCTATACTTTTTAAAAGCCAAATTAGCCTAATACTTCATAATTGACTTAAGTTAGGTGTATTTAATACCAATCTCATGAAAACAAGGTAGAAACACAAATAAAATAATGTGTGAAGACATATAAATTTAAGGGAAATTTATATAACTCTCACTATAGTTTAGAAGCTAATCACTTAGATATACTCTAATTTGCAATATTACGAATCTTACCAAATTTTGGGTCATTCAGATACACCCATATACATGTATCTCGGATACATGAGGTCAAAATTAAGTGTAATTTGTCCTAGATACACAATATCCAACTGGATTCGCATGTATTTGAGATACATAATGAATCTCGCTCACCTCCCTCGTCTCCTTCCCATCTCGTTCGTCACTCTCCTATACTATCTCGCTCACATCTCTCCTTATTTTAGTGTATCTGATAGCAAAAATACATGTATCTAAGTGTATCTTTATTGATACATAGTAGAAAATTCTTAATAAATAATAAAATACGTAATATTTTAAAAATTCATATAATAATAGTATATATATGATAGTTAAATATTTCTAAAGTTTTTTCTAAATAGAATACACCAAACGTATTTCAAATGTTTATTATAAAAGGAAGCTTAGTGCATGGAGTGAATGAGAAAGCTTCGTGTTGTCTGCAAGCTATACTATTAGCAAACAACTTTTTGGGACAATAAATATATATATTAATAAATTATTAAAGTTTTTACCGTCATTAATTAACCCTAGATTTAATGTCCTATAGACTTTAGCGAAATTTATAAAAAGTACTCTCTCTGTCTCTAATTATTTGTCCACTTTTGAATTGACACACATATTAAGAAAATAATTAATGACATAGTGAGTTTACCATTTTATCCCTAGTAATTATGAAGTGGATGAAAAGTTCTACATTTTTCAAAGTAATTAGTCATTTAATTGAGGGTATAATAGGTAAAAAAAATTGTTTTTTCTTGATTTGTCAAAATGAACAAGTAATCAGGGACAACTATAAAATGAAAAGTGGACAAGTAATTAGAGACAGAGGGAGTACTAAAATATACTATTATCTAGTAATTACCTCTAAAAAAAATATATTTACCGGTAATTAAGTAATTGCCATTAATTAAATATAGCTCCAAAATTATTTTTGGTAGTGTTGTTTGCAACAAATTTTAAACATATGAAAAATAAATCATCCACACAAATAAAATATGAAGAAACATGAATATTTTATTGATAATAGTGTGGATACAATTTTGTTCCTCCCTTGATTCTTCACTCATAAGATTTATCCATGATTCGAGGGCCATTAGTGGCGTATTTCTCGAACTAGGATGATTTAAATTTGACCTCTATATGAGTATTCCGTGACTTTTGTGGAATATTTCGAGATGCCTTTTAAGGGAATTTAGTACCCTTTATAGAGGCATGAACTAGGGTTTTGGGTTGAGTACCCTTCAAGAATTCTAATTGAAACTAAACACACTTTCTAGAATCCCAATTCGAATTGAACACGTCTTGTAGGGTCCCATAAATTTCAATGTCTACTAGTGCTACCACATGCCAAAAAACATGCATATTCTGTAACTCATATTTTTGTCAACAAAGTACTAAATGAAGTGGAGACGGATTTAAAATTTGAAGTTCATGAATTTTTAATAATTTTATATTTAAAAGTGACTTCTTTATATTCCCTATGAGGGGAATTAAACCCCCATAAACTTGAGCAAATTTCTTCACTATCGCTAGACCAAGTGATTACTTTGTTGTTAGATTTTCAACATATATTTCTTATATATTTATAAGACTTTTCACTATAAATATAAAATCTACACAAAAGTTATCGATTTCCCCAAAATCCGCATTCAATATCCTAGATCTGCTTCTATTTATGACGTATAAAATAACTAAGCTTAATTTGGTGAAATTTGGTCCATTATTATCACTTATTGTAGCTGACATTACCAAACTTTACATCACTATATTAACTGTTCGCTATAACTTGTAGGATGGTCTTCTACACCTCGATTGTATCGCACCTCCATTGTTGCATTTATAAAAGAGTACTACGTGTACATTAATTATAAGTTGTACTCTACTTCTTTCGTTTTACTTTTATTTGTCCAATTTAAACTTTGCACGTTTTTTTAAAAATAAAATAATTAATTAAGTGATTAATGCTAAGTTTAAAACTTGAAGAAATAATACTCTTTTTTTGATATATCAAAATTAACAAATAAAAATAATTTTATAAAATAATGGATAAATAAAAATAAGCAGAATGCGAATGTATAAGTACAATTACTAGTTTAGAAATGAAAATGTTAGCATGCAGTAGTTATGATATAGGTTAGTGATCAAGACCGAGATCGATTTACACTTAGTTTGGTTGGTTGATACGTATTGTTTCATAATGTATTTTATTGTATTGTATCCAGAGGCGAATCTAGAATTTTTCGAATATGAGTGCAACAAGTAAAATGTATTGAAGTGGGAACTGATCCTTAATCCTCAAGGTCAAAAGCTCAACATTAAACCATGTTGACCATTTAGACTTCTTGTAGTACAGGTGCCAGAATATAATATTATACAAATTTTAGAAAATATATATATAAACTATCTAATTTTACGAAGTGATCGCGTGCGAATGCCCTATTTTTTTACTCTAAATTTGTCATCATACTGTATTGTTTTAATGAATAGAGTGATCGGAAAACAAGGTGTTATAGAAAAAAATGTGCAAATCTACGGGAGCAATGTTAAGAAACGGAGAAGAGTGACATAATTGCAATTTGCGATTCGAAGTTAAATAACAGAGTCTCATTAATTGCTTCCACTCAAAAAAAATAAAATTCTGCACTCATCACTACAAGTTTTGCCAGTCGTAATAATTTTGGCAGCCATTAATAATCTCAACAAACCCTCTATCCCACCCTATTTTTCACACTCATAAAAAATAAAATCACCAAATTCACTCAAAATCCCAATGCAACAATGGCTTATACCACTTTGATCAGCATAATCCTTAGTCATTTTTTGTTACTAACGACTAAAACATTGGCTGGAAAAGTTCCAGCAATTATAGTGTTCGGCGATTCGTCGGTGGATTCAGGGAATAACAACCAGATCTCCACTGTTCTTAAGAGCAATTTCGAACCGTACGGCCGCGATTTCTACGATAAAAAGCCAACTGGTAGGTTCTGCAATGGGCGAATTCCACCGGATTTCATATCGGAGGCTTTTGGGGTGAGGCCATTTGTTCCAGCTTATTTAGATCCGGCGTTTAGTATATCTGATTTTGCAGAAGGTGTTTGTTTTGCTTCTGCTGGTACTGGTTATGATAATGCCACTTCTGATGTGCTCGTAAGCTTTCATTAACTCCTTTCCAATTTTAACTGATTTTTTTTCTTTTTCAAGGACGTCTCAATAAAATTAATACAACGAGTCATAGTTGCTATAATACTAGCACGTGTTTACCTTTATTTGCTAATTTGGGTAACAGAATCATGGTGCTAGGAAAATTTCCACAAATTAAGTTTAAAATTAGATCTTGAGTCTAATTCATATTCTAAAAATTATTTCAAAAGTGAAGAAATCATCAACATGACATTTAACTTGGCTTCAGTGGATAACTATGACTTTCAATTTTGAGTGTGCACAAGTAGACACTTAAACGTATATAAAATTAAACAAATAGACACATGTATCCTACATAGCATAATACACATAGACGCCACGTATGATACAAAATTGTGATGCAGGGTGCCATGTAGGACGAATGTGTCTATTTGCTCAATTTTATAAAAGTTTAAATGTCTACTTGTGCACACCTAAAGTTAAAGGTCATAGTTGTCAATTGATGCCAAGTTAAGGGTCATATTTATGTATTATGCTCATTATATTTGGTGCATGACAAATTTTAATTTGGACCAAACAATCGGTGAGATGAGTCCTGCTCTAAGCTCTTGAGCTTAACTCAGATTGTTCAAACTTTATTAGGAGGAGATCATACTTTTCTCATTCTATAACATTATGCGATAGATAGATTGTGGACTTGAAAATTATTTTGCAGGATGTGATCCCATTGTGGAAGGAAGTTGAGTACTACAAGGAATATCAAAAGAAACTTGAAGCATACGCAGGTAAAAAGAAAGCCAAATACATAATAAAAGAGTCACTCTATTTAATCAGCATTGGAACAAATGACTTCTTGGAAAATTACTATTCAATGCAAAGCCAACGCTCTTCTCAATACACAGAAGATCAATTTCAAGATTTTCTTCTTCGACTTGCTCAGAACTTCGTGCACCAAATTTATCGCATGGGTGCTAGGAAAATTTCGTTAACTGGAGTTCCTCCAATGGGGTGTTTGCCATTGGAAAGAGCAACAAATTATGTAGGTGGAAATGGAGATGGATGTAATGAGAAGTATAATAATGTTGCTAAGCATTTCAATGTCATGTTGAGTGGTTTGGTTGAGAGGTTAAATCAAGAGCTTCCTGGGATTAGAGTGGTCTTTGCTGATGCTTATAATCTCTTGCTACAAATGATTACAAATCCTTCTTCATATGGTAAGTTTTTCTTTCCATTTGGACTTTTTTTTAAAAAAAACTTAGAGTTGTGTTTGGAATTTAGGAAACATCAAAAACTCTGTTTTCACTTTCACTACATTTTCATTTTTCAATTTTACCCTAACATTTATATTTTATAAAAATGATCCTATTTAAATTATATCTTATGTGGAAAATGTACATCAAAATAACCAGATATTATTTGCAGAAACTATAACCAAACATAACTCCATCTTCATCTCCACGTCCTCCAACTTCCAAAAAATTCAAATAAAGTGAAAATATTTGTAAAGTTATGTAGTAGCTCGTAGATGAGATCTAATCTATGATATTATGTGACTGCCTATTTTGATTTATTACTCTTTTAGAGCAAATTTAATTGTATGTTTCAGATAAGTTAGTCAAGTTTTTAGAAATTAAAAGGTATAAATCATATTTAGAGAAAAACATATTCAAAATCTAAATATTCTTTGCAAACCTATGGCCACACACAATACTAATTCCAAATCCAACTTTAAAAATTTTGAAAAAATAAAAAATACTATTTAATTTTCGACCAAACGCCTAGAAATTAACTATTTTTTAATTTCTATTTTTTTTTGGCGATTGGCTATTTTGAGAAATGCAGGGTTTGAAGTGTCAAGTGTAGCATGTTGTGGCACAGGATTATTTGAGATGGGTTTTTTGTGCGATAAATTAAGTCCATTGACATGCACAGATGCAAATAAGTTCGTATTTTGGGATGCATTTCATGTGACAGACAAAACAAATCACATTATTTCTGATTTCTTGATGGAACATGTCCTTGACCAATTTTTATAGTTATGTTGGATCATCTAATATGGATTTTGTAGGAGGATGCATAGATTGACTTGTTTTCATTGGTATTTTATTTTTGTTTAGTGTCGATATTTGGATATTGTGGTGGGAAGAATTAAATAAACGAATATTTGTTGTACGTACATTTTTTGATTCTCAAGGATATTGTATTATTTGAACTACAATATCAAATGAGATATGTATCGTTAAAATATAGAGACCACTCATTTTTTAAAAGAATCGACATGCGCGGAACCTTCACATGCATGTTTGTCAATTTGATATGTGAGTTTGAGAAAAGTATAATTCTAAGTCAATTTTGTTCACTGAACATACAATTTGAAAGCAATTGCACATACCATAAATGAGACCGTTGTTTGCACGGTGATAGATAGAGAAATCAGATATTTTTTTATTTTGAATCAATGAATTGAGCTATCTTTTGGGCTTTATAGTATCTCTAAGTTTAGGCTATTTTTTTTAATGTAAATGAAAACTTGGCTATATTTTCTGTAAACAAACTAGTTTATTGTATATTTATAAATTTTTTGGTTTTTTTCTTTAATATCAAACCAAATCTCTAGTCAATTTTTTTTTTCCATTTGCGAATTGATACAATTTTCGATTTGATTTTATTCACCCTGCCTAGCTAGGCCCATCCCTACCTCCGACCCAAAGAACTAGGCGACTAACATTACCGCCCCAAATACCAGCAAATCGGCCCATTGAAATTGAGTCAGCCCAACACATACTTATAAATATAGGTCCCTTTAATAAAAAAAATCAATATTTCAATTGTTCTCTCTGTTAGCTTGTAAAATTAACTCACTATTATGGGGTAAAAGTAGTTTCATCTCTATTGTAAAATTTGATCTTGTTTATATCCATTTCCCTCATTCTTACTCATTTGTTTGATTTCGTTTTAGAATTTGATTTGATGTTGTAATATACATAATTAATTTGTTTAGAATCTTAATTGCCTTGTTGTTTATCTGAGTCGTCCAAAAGTTTAATGGGCAGAGTGTGTTGATGGGGTGTATCTAAGAGTGTGCTATCCAAATGCAAAAGATAACGTTGTCAAAATTGACGAAAAATGTTGTGTATGCATTTTTGGAGAGAGACAACTCAGTTATAAGTGCAGTGGCGGAGCCAGAAATTTCGTCGGGTGTTCAAACTATAAAAGAGTAGATAATTTTTTTTAGCAGAATGGCTGCACAAAACATTTTTTTTACTGATGAGTGGATATATCCAAATTTAGATATTAATTTACAATGTTTTAAAGTTCAAGAGAATTGTTGAAACTTTTTTTTTCCACATTTTCCTTTTCATTTAATAAAAATTCTTAACTATTTTATATTTTCTAAAAAAATAGTTTAGAAATAATCAAAATTATAATGTGGACAATAATCTTTAATTGTATTTTTAAAATTAATTTATTAAGAGTGTGTTATACCTAATAATTCACTTAAAATAGATTAAAAATAGAAGATTCTTAACTATTTTATATTTTCTAAAAGAATAGTTTAGAAATAATCAAAAGTATAATAGTGGATAATAATTTTAATTTATCTATAAAATTAATTTATTAAGAGTGTGGTATACCTAATAATTCACAAATATTAATTATTAGGTTAACTAAAATTTAAGGCTAGAAAAGATATTAATTATTAGGTTAACTAAAATTTAAGGCTAGAAAATAAACGGTGCTGCTAATGGCTAGTCATGTGTTTTTTTTGTTTAAAAATCAAATTGTGTTAAATAACGTAGAGGTTAACTAAAATTTAAGGCTAGAAAATAAACGGTGCTGCTAATGGCTAGTCATGTGTTTTTTTTGTTTAAAAATCAAATTGTGTTAAATAACGTAGCTAGTGAGGATCAAACCACAGACCTCAAAGATACAGTTATGCACACTTACCACTAGACTACGAGCCACTATTATGCATAAGTATGTTCAATTTATTATATATTCATATATTAGATAATATTTTACCTATATACACAGTATAATTTTTTGATGAAGAGTGTTTGTCTGACCACCCTTACTTGGATGTAGCTCCGCCCCTGCATAAGTGGATAGTTATCTTCCCAACAGAGTAAATATTGAGGTATTTTTTTTCTCTTATTTGGTTAGTTGAAAATATTTATTTTTGACTTGTTTAAACAAACACATTTAGTGGCCTAAAGCCAAAAATAAATTTGAGGTCTAATTTTTAATTTTTAATTTTTAAAATTTTGAGATCCAAAGTTATTTCTTCTTTTTAATGAAAAGGTTTTATTTTTTCAATGGTTTTAAGCTAAATATATAATATACCAAATTTTTTTTTAATCTTGTGGTGCTAAACATGTCAAGCGGAAGTTAAATTTAAAAATTGACAAAAAAGAAAGAAACATTTTATAATATTTCGAAACGAACTAAACGAAAGACACACTATAATTTTTTTGGTTAAAAAATACTTATAATAATTTTATTATTACTAAATAACGGGGCCCTCGAATTTGGGGGCCTAAGACCGATGCCTCATTTTTAAAGCATTAAGCCGCCCTTAAGTCTATGTGATATTTTGTAACGATCGGGTTCCGTCGTTATAGAAAAACCAACGGGGGGTCGGAAAACTTTTTCGTAGTAACTAGAGATTTCCCAACCTAGTCCAGATTTGAACGAAATCGGAGTCATTCACGTCTAGGGAAATCTGGTAGCAGTTGGGTGATCTAATTATGAGTTTGATCATATGAGTAGATAGATAAGTCGTTAAAGACTCGGTACGACTTTACAGAATTGAATTCGGGTGAGTAGAACTCCCGAAATTGATCTTAGCATGAACGAGTAGTTTCTGAGTGTCGTTGGTTGAAGGTGCGTTGTGAAATGGGGTCTTGAAATTATTAAAATAGCTCATTGTTTCGTGCAAGCCGCTTTGGCGGTGATTTATGTCTCTAGGGCGGGGATGCTGTAGCGGGGTGGGGACCTCTGTGGCGGGCCCGATGCGACTTAAGTCGATAATAAACCCCAAAACGTCTTTATTTTGCACTTTTTGACTTTGAGAGTAAGAAGACGAACCCCAGGCGATTCTTGACAGTTTTCCACTATCTTTAAGGCTAAAGGTAAGGTTTTAACTCCTCGAATCCATTTTTCGATCTGTAAAGTGTAATCTAATAGGTAAATATCGATGGGGGAGAGTTTTGATATGAGAATTATGATGGAAAAAGCCCTAATTTGGGTAATGGGATCATATGTATGATCTAGGGTTGTTAGAATTGTTAGTAATCCGGGTAATTAGTGATTGTTTATTGGTTCTTGTATTATATTGATTGTTTGTACACCAAGAACAAGCGGAACGAATTCGGAAAGGGAAGGATCAAGTTTTTTAAGGTTTCAAGCTTGTTTCGAGGTAGGTGATGGTTGTGATTCTATGATTGTGTGATGTATGTTTGTTCTTGCTTCATTATGATACATGTTTGTATTCGAATGTTGCATTATTGATCACATTAATTGTAAATGAGGATTTATGAATGATGAATGCCATGAATCATGACTTGATTGTATGATTATGAGAATGTACTTTGTGATTGTGCTTGTGACTTGTTGAATGGATCGGATGTTGCGTTCCGACACACTAACTTGGGCTTGGGTTCCATGAGAGGACCAATAATTTGATATAATTGTGCATATTGAGAAGTGTGTAACTGTTCGTTGTTCGTAAATGATGATGATATTGTATATGTTCGATATATGCATATGATTATATTGTTGTATTGACTTATGTCTGTTACACTTAGTGGGATTGCCGCGTGATCCTACTAGTACACGGTGGTTGTGTATAGATACTGCACTTGCTTTTTCTTTGTTGAGTACAGGGCATCTTCAGGCGGCTATTGACAGACCTTGCTTAGAAGATCAGTGATCGTCGTTCGAATTCAAGGGTGAGTCAGTTCTTTCAGGCTGCCATAAGTTCTCTTTTCGTTTATGTCCACATTTCGGACTTAGACTTTTCTAGTTAGTTATTAGTTCATTAGTTGGGGTTGTAACCCTTTTTGTTAGACTTATTGATCTTATTAGATGTTTTGGTACATTGACTTTCAGGCTCTAGGTAGTATTTCCGCATTTTTTAGTTGTTAGATCTTTTGGAAGTTTATGGAAACCTCAGTCTTTAGCTATTTAACTTGCTTCTGTAACTTAAATGTTTTAGTTTTTGGTTTAGTTGCTTGGTTTGGGTTGTAGTAGTGATTCTCCCACTGGAGGGTTAGTGTGAGTGTCAATCACGACAGTCTGGGTCGTGACATAGTTGACTAAGTGCATTTAGTGTTCAATCATATAAGGGGAAACTAAGAAAATACCCCATAAAACAAAATAATTACAAACATATACCCATTTACATTCATACCCCACTAAATAATTACCTTATATACCCCCAACAAATTTCGCTTAACTGATACTAAATCAATATTATATACTGTATTGGTATCATTAAGGCTGATAATTTTGCTTAACTGATACTACAAGAGTATATGTATCGTTGTGGTATCATTAAGATTTCTTGTTCAGAAATTATGGTATCATTGACTAATAAGTAATTTCTGAACATGAAACCTTAATAATACCAATACAATATATATATACTGATTTAGTTTCAAGTTAAGCTAAATTATCAGCCTTAATAATATCAATACAATATATGATAATGATTTAGTATCAGTTAAGCGAAAATTATCAGCCTTAATAATACCAATACCATATATGATACTAATTTAGTATCAGTTAAGTGGAAATTATCATCCTTAATGAATGAAGGGTATGAGCTGTAATTATTTATGAGAGCATGAATATTTCAGGAATTACTTTGAGTTTGTGTACGAACTTGTAATTAATTTAGATTTTATGATTCATTTATGTAGTTTTTCCATTAAATAATGTGTGTTTTTAGTAATGAATTGCCCTTCGTAGAGTTAACAGTTTGTTATTGTTTTTTTGATTCCGTTGGTAAAAAGACTAAAAACACACACATTACTTAATTAAAGGTCAAATATGCTTGGTCAAATTATTTATTGATTTTAA